GGGCTACTACGGTAATCAAAGTGGCGGTTATGCTCCACCACCACCTGGACCAGGAGATGCTGGCTATAACGCATACAATCAACAAGGAGGTTACCCTCAAGGAGGTGGCTACCAACAACCTGGAGGATACCCCAATAATCCACCACAAGGTGGATATCCTCCATCAGGAGGATATCCATCAGGGGGTTATCCTCCTCAAGCAGGCTATCCTCAAGGAGGTCCACCTGGAATGCCACAACCAGGAGGCCCAGGAGGCTATCAACCCAATCAAGGTCCATCACCACCTATTGGATTCAATACCGGTTACCCAGATCAATCAGCTCAACCATATCCTCCATCAGGTGGAATGGGAGGATATCCTTCTCAACCAGGTGGTTATCCTCCACCACAACAAGGCTACCAGCCGCCAGCCAGCCAGTATGGTTCGGGCTATTCAGCATCAGCTGCTCCATATCAAATGGGGCAGTATAAGCCAGGTAAGGCTTTTTCCAGACCAAATTTATAATTTTTAAATATTACCTTACTATTTGCTATTTTGGTTTTTTCCCTGGACACAAACCCATCGAAGAGAATGTGGTGATTTAACAAAAACAACCGTGAGTATGCTGGGTAATATCGCCAACAACCTCTGTACCCGTTCCATTCTGAGGGCAAAAAGGAAGTTTGCCGCATTTCGATGGGGATGATCAAGACGATTGTTATTACAACGTATCCGATGCTTTCGAATGTCATATCTGTTTTCTCTATTGATTCCTGGAAAAGTGGGAGTCACTGAGGGGTCAAAGATAAGAATGAGAAGCTATTGGTACAAATGCCCGAGAAGATCATCTTTTTCGCCAAATAAGCGTCTAACAATAAGTCTCTTTTTTTATTCAGGGGTCGTTGTTTTCATATTACGTTTTGCGGAGAAAACATAATGCTAAAACATAAGAAAGGGGAATTTCAATGAAAACTTATCGCCTTTATTGCCTTGGCAAAATGGCAATAGCAGGTAGCTGCGTAAGGGACACGTGAGCTTGCCTCACGCGCTGACCCAATTTGATCACAGTGACCGCAATGGCGTCTCTTGAACCATACCTCGGAGAAAAAGCTAAGGCGTTCCCTAACTCGCTTTGGCACCTTACCAGCCTACTACTTAGCCAGTTTGGGCAGCCAGTCAGTTCTCTATCACTTTCTTACGTCCAGTTTTTGTCTTTTCTCCCCACCTCTTCATGCGAGCCTTGCTTTCGAGTCCAATCTCATTGATTCTTTGTAAAACATTAGTTTCATACTATTCATTCACATCCTTTTTTGAACACAAAATTTATTATTAGTGTAATAGAGTAATATAGTGTAGTATATAATAATGTAATATACGCCTTAATTTGGCCTCTGATTGACCACTCAGTAGTGGAGAGAAAGAAAAAGATTTTAGAGTTTTTCATTTATCAAATTATCAATTCATAAGGCTTATGACGTTATAAATTACGAAATCTCTCTTTTCCTCCAATTCCCCTTGCGAATTTCTTGATTGTAATGACACACTACA